CAAACAGTGGAAATGAGCCAGGCTAATTAATAAAGAATGTGGCAGGAGTTTTCATGGCCCAAGAAACATTTCAAGCAATAGTTAAAACCACTAGGATGGAAACATCTGGAATCCTCTATTGTTGAAACTGTAAGTCTGTCTGTAGGAAACTTTCAGGAACATGTATTAGGAAAAGCTGGAGGGAGAGGGCACACTTTCGGGTTCTGTTTTTTGTTGTTGTTGTTGCTCAATCCATGTTTATTTAATTTTTTAAAAATATATTTTATTGATTATGCTAGTACAGTTGTCCCATTTTACCCCCTTCACTCCCCTCTACCTTGCACACTCTCTCCCACCCACATTTTCCCCCTTTAGTTCATGTCCATGGGTCATACATATAAGTTCTTTGGCTTCTACATTTCCCATACTTTCCTTACTCTCCCCCTGTCTATTTTCTACCTACCATCTATGCTATTTACTCTTTGTAACTTCTCCCCTTCTTTCCCCCTTCCACTCCCCTGTTGATAATCCTCCATGTGATCTCCACTTCTGTGGTTCTGTTCCTATTCTAGTTGTTTGCTTAGTTTGTTTTTGTTTTTGTCGTAGGTGTGGTTGTTAATAATTGTGAGTTTGCTGTCATTTTACTATATGTGTTTTTTATCTTCTTTTTCTTAGATAAGTCCCTTTAACATTTCATATAATAAGGGCTTGGTGATGATGAACTCCTTTAACTTGACCTTATCTGAGAAGCACTTTATCTGCCCTTCCATTCTAAATGAAAGCTTTGCTGGATAGAGAAATCTGGGATGTAGGTCCTTGCCTTTCATGACTTGGAACAATTCCTTCCAGCCCCTTCTTGCCTGTAAGGTCTCTTTTGAAAAATTAGCTAACAGTCTGATGGGAACTCCTTGTAGGTAACTGCCTCCTTTTCTCTTGCTGCTTCTAGGATTCTCTCCTTCATTTTAATGTTGGGTAATGTCATTATGATATGCCTTGATGTGTTCCTCCTTGGGTCCAACTTCTTTGAGACTCTCTGAGCTTCCTGGACTTCCTGGAAGTCTATTTCCTTTGCCAGATTGGGGAAGTTCTCCTTTATTATTTGTTCAACTAACTTTTCCACTTGTTGTTCTTCCTTCTCTCCTTCTGGTACCCCTATAACTCGGATGCTGGAACATTTAACAATGTTCTGGAGGTTCCTAAGCTTCTCCTCATTTTTTTGCATTCTTATTTCTTCAATCTTTTCTGGTTGAATATTGCTTTCTTCTTTCTAGTCCACACCATTGATTTGAGTCCCAGTTTCCTTCCCATCACTTATTGGTTCCCTGTACATTTTCCTTTATTTCACTTAGCATAGCCTTCATTTTTTCATCTAATTTGTGACCTAATTCAACCAATCCTGTGAGCATTCTGATTACCAGTGTTTTGAACTGTGCATCTGTCAGGTTGGCTATCTCTTCATCGCTTAGTTGTATTTTTTCTGGAGCTTTGATCTGTTCTTTCATTTGGGCCATTTCTTTGTTGTCTTGATTTGCCTGTTATGTAGTGAGGGGAGGAGCCTTAGGTGTTCACCAGGGCAGGGTAACCCACATTGCTGGGTTGTGATGCTGTATGTGGGGGGTGGGGTCCAAGAAGGAACAATGGCTCTTTCTCTGCCCTCTGCTGGCTTTCAGTCACTTCCCCTGCTTCCCACAAGCAAATTGGGCCTTTCCGATGCTGATTCCTGTGTGGGTGGGTTTGTGTACATTCTAGGACCCTGTGGGTCTCTCCAACAAACTCTCCTGTGAGGCTGGGAGTTTCTCCCACTGCCACCTCAACCCCCACAGGTGTTTTCAATCAGTGGTTTGAGGCTTTATTTCCCCTTGCTGGAGCTGTGGGTTGTGTGATCTGTGTCATTCTCCAATTGTTCCTCCCGGTTTATCTGCATGTGAATGTGGGACCACCTGCTCCACCAGCCGCTGCTGTCGCCTTGCTGGCCAGCTGCAGCCTTGTGCACCCTGCTCCACAATCTGGTGCTGGGTCCACCAGCTGCTGCCTTGGCTGCCCTGATCCTCCAGCCACCGCCTTGCCTAGAGTCCTCTCCATGGGTGCATCTCTGCCCCACTTACTGGTCTGGATGAATGTGTGTTCTGTAACACCTTGGTTGTTGGACCTCCATACAGTTTGATTTTCTGTCAGTTCTGGTTGTTTTTTTTTTAAATTGTTGTTTTCTTTTTGGTTGTGCGAGAAGACACAGTGTGTCTACCTATGCATCCATCTTGGCAGGAAGTCCAATGTTTTCAGGTCTGTTTTAAAGTATGTTTGCCTAGTCTGTCCATCTGAACTTGTGTAAGCTGTTTTCTCTTCCTCCATCTCTGTGCTGTGTTCTCTGCTGACCCTCCTGCTAGTGAGAGGTAAGAGTGGAATACATATGGCTTTGGCAAGACAAAACGAGTGTGTACTGAGAGTGATCCTCATCATGTGTCATGCACTCTAGGGAGCATCAAGGGTATCTGGACATCTCTTCTCTGGACAATTGCATCTGCTAGACAGATGACAGGATGTCTGTCAGAGGATGCTCAGTGCCTGGGCTCTTCTGTCACTGTAAACAGTGAGCAGGGCACATTTTTTCAGGAACTAGATATCGAGAATTAGTACATAGCATGTGGTTTGTGCAATTAAATAGAAATTTGTGTGCTATTTTGCCAGCAGTCATGTAAGCTTGAGATCCTACTGCATAAGCTAAATGAGTCAAATCTGACTAATAGTCTCCTTGAGTTGGGAACCTGTGCAAAAGGATGGCCAGAGCAGTCAGGCTTTGTTGGGGAGTGGGGAGTATGGGAAGAAATACTGTCCTAAGAGGATCTGGGAGTGTTGCCCAGGCCCAGAGAGGCCAAAGAGGAGCCCTACATGTGATGCTGGCATTCCTTGGGAGATGCTGCCTCTTTCAGGGATCTGATGCCACCCTGGAAATGCCCTGGTTTAGAAGGACTGGGCCTGGGCTCCTCCTGTGTCCAGAAGGTGACGGGGGATGTTGATATCTTCATTTTATTAGCTGTTTCTGTCAGAAGCTGTTGAAGTCTGGAAAAGGTGGTGGGTGAGGGAGAGGAGTGTCTGGTTCAAGAAATTCTATTCTGTATGAAGCAGAAGCTGGTGGGTGAGAGACACTTCACAGTTGCCATGAGGAGTATGTGGGGAAGCCTGTGGCAGGGGTCTGTATGTAGTCTGGATGACCTCAGTGTACCCAGCACCACAATGCAGTTCTAGGAGATAGTACCATACACTGGGCCAATAGGGGTCACAGGCAAGGCTGTCAGAAGCAGGTGTTCCTGAAAACTTTGGTTCCAGTCATCACAGTGATATATCACCAAGAAGTGAGCCACCTCTTATCTCTATTATTTATGCAAAAGTTTTCCTTTAAGCAGTCTTACTTGTATTTTTCATTGTAACAAAATACACATACCATATAATTTACCATGTTAGCCATTAAGTATATAGTTCAGTGGCATTAAGTACATTCACATTGATGTATAAAACATTTTATTTTTAATTTAGATATATTTTAGAGACAAAATATGTGTTATCACTCTCAATAATGGAAACCAGTATTATTGAGTACTTCCCATAAACAGAAGTTAGACATTAGAATAACATAGTGAATGCCCTGGCAGGTGTGTCTCAGTGGATTGAGTGCTGGCCTGCAAACGGAAAGGTCTCTGGTTCCATTCCCAGTCAGGGCACATGCCTGGGTTGCAGGCGAGGTCCCCAGGAGAGGGTGCATGAGAGGCAAATCACACATTGCTGTTTCTCTCCCTCTCCTTCTCTCTCCCTTCCCCTCTCTCTAAAAAGATAAATAAATAAAATCTTTTTAAAAAAGAATAACATAATGAAGACAGATAGTTACTAACTTACAGCTAGTTATTGTTGCCATTGATGGTTTTGAGGTGAGGCCTGCTTCCCCATGCAGAAAAATTTTTTCAAGAGAGGTTGCCAAGTATTGGAGAAGTGTTAAAGACATGTTAGCACCAAATTGACATGTCTTCATTGATGTTCCCAGAAGAACTCAAAGAAGGGTGAAGGAGGCATTTTCTCACTGTTATGTCAATATGTTCCTGTGCTGTGCCAAGATACCTCCTCCCACCTTGTCCATCACTGAGCACCCCTCTGCCTCCCAGACCCCACCATCACATTGTGGGAACTGCTGAGATGCATATAGGCTCCTGCCCACCAAGGATCTTTGACTCCTGGTCCAGATATATGGTCTTTCCAGCTTGGAGCAGTTACCAGGGACATCTTTTGGGAAGAGTCCTTTACATTTCCTACCCCATTTTTCCCAAGAGAAATGAAGGTCTCTCCCAGATGTCCTTTCTGTCTCTGAACCCCATACTCTGTGAGCCCAGCTGCCTCAAATGGCAGCACTTCATTATGACTTAGGCACAGTCCAAAGTTACCCGGCCACACCATGGTGGTGTGAGTCGACTAGTTGCTCTGAGTAAGTGAACTTTGTGTCATGTGAGTGGAAGGGCAGACAAGTTAAGAACCTGGGGTTGGGTTGGTCTTACAGTACTGGTGGAAAACACAAGCAGCCACTGAGAGGCAGGGGCATCCGACAAGAGGGTTTCACAGGGAGCTAGATTTCAATTGGAGGTTAGATTTGTCTGGGTACCCATTTCCCCAGACAATAAAAGTAACAAAATGTGTGCATCTGTTTCTTCTTGGAAGCACCAAGAAGCTGAAAATAACATAGAAAATATTTGCTTTTCAAACTGTGCACAGGTGCTCTCTATAAACATCATAAGAAAACATGCTTATTACTGAAGTTATGAATGTATTTCAGTAAAACAAGCCATGGCACTGGGAACATGGGAGCTAGGAATAAAAATCACTTTGGAGACCCTGGTGAAGTGTCACTCTGAGTGAAATCAGTGTCTTGGGTACTTGAAGGGTAGAGGAGGGCCTCTCTGCATTCCCCTCTCCTGGGTTTGTTATACCTCCCTTGGAGCCCCTCTATGATGTCTGCCAGACACAGAACATGTGCTTCTCACCTGGGGCTTGGTCTCATCTTTGTCCTTGTAATAGAAAAGCTGATCCTGATGCAGCACAAACCAGCGTTGCTGCCAGTTCTTCATGATGCTCCTCTGCTTCTTCAGCCAGCCCGCCTTCAGCACTGGGCCCAGCCTGTGGGAGCAAGGTGGCTGCCCAGGGCTCTGGCTCTGCTCTCCCATCACCAGGCTTTTGGAGTGAGCTGGAAGCCAAGAACACAAAGTAAGTGGGAAGGATGCATGCCTGTTGTCATTCCTTATCTCACCTTGGCATCCCAGCTTCCCTGGGACCAGGACATGGGAGCTTAGGGCATCAGCATATAATCACATTTGGACTATTACCCCTTGGGTTCAAAGGTCTTGGGCTGGAGCACCTTCACAGCAACATCCCAAGATTATCCACCTGGGGTAGGTGCACAGCTTGCCTGCCTGGTTAATTTCTGCTATACCTCTGGGATATTGTGTTCTCTATTTCCCAAGGTGTCTTTATCCCTCTATGTGTCTGATTCATGCATCTGTCCATGCATCCACACATCCACCCACGGATCCACATATCCATCCTTCCATTTGTTTGTGGAAACAACTATTTATTGAATACCTTCTATATGCCAGTCAGTGTTCCAGGTGCTGGGGATAAAGCAGTGAAATAAGAGACATAAGACTTCTGGCTAATATGGCTGAGAAGGTAAATGCTGTGCTTGCCTCCTCCCATGACCACATCAAAATTAAAACTAAATTATAGAACAACTACCATTGAGAACCAACTGAAGACTAGCCAAACCAAGAATATAAAGAAGCCACATTGAGCATGGCAGGAGGGGTGGAGACATGGAATGGGCAAGTCCCATGCTGCAGTGTGGTGATTAAGAATTGGGAGGGGTATCTCATCTGCAGTGTTCATCCCTGAAGAATGAGGTATCCCAGCCTCACACAGGCTCCTTAGCCCAGGGCTCTAATGCTAGAAAGAGGAGATTCCATAATATTTGGCTACAATATCTTGGGATTGCATCCAAGTGAGATGGAGAGCTGCTGGAGACCTAGACACTACAGGTCTTAAAAGGCCTGTGTGTAGACTCACTCACTCACAAATCCACTCACTCTGAGCTCCAGTATGCAGACAGCAGCTCAAAAGGCAACAGGGACATACAGGGAGGAACTAAATTGATTAGCTTTAGGTTGAGGACCGGAGAGGCAGGGGTTGGGACAACTGTCTCTGAAACAGAAATGCTGGAAGGCACCATTGTTCCTCTGTTGACTCCCTGACAGCCCCAACCCAGCCAGGTTGCACAAGTAGGCACCAAATCTGAGCCCTCCATTGACCTGGCTAACACTGTTTGCCCCCCGTTCCCTGGTGATTCCCTAAGACCTGGCTCCACCCAAGTCACACATCCTATTCAAGCCTCTTCCAGCTGCTTTTTCTCAGAAATGGCTTGCCTCAGCTTGTGTTGTAGACTTTCCTAAAATCTCTCAAAGGTCCACAAAACCCAAACAAACAGTGGCTGGCCACACTGTGCTTTATAACTCTTGCTAAGTTATTCAAAGCCAAGCACAAGTGGTAAGTGCTCTCAACTTTCATTGTAACTCCCATCAGGTAGTCCCAAGTCTGGCATAAGTGGCACACAGGCACAGCTTGGAATATAGCCTTAATTAGATGGCTAGAACCTGGTACAAGTGGCAGCTGGCCTCAGCTGACGTCATGATGTCCAAAGGACCAGCCTGACACTAGTGGCAACTAGCCTTGGTTCACAGAATAGCCTCTTCCAAGTGCATCTGAGACTAGCACAAGTGGCAACCAACTGGAGATCACTTTGTAGCTCCTACTAGATGGCCCTAAGCTGGGCATAAGTGGTGGCTTACCTTGACCTGCATTGGAGCCCCTTGCAGGAGGCTTCATAACAAGCACACCTGGTGGCTGGCTTCAGCAAGCCAGCTTCACAAAGGAGGGGCAGACTCAGCTGGCACTAGAACCCTGCTGAAGCCACTCTTGCTTGGTGGGGTCAGTTCCCATACAACAGCTCATCTGCTATAATCATGGCCAGTCCTCATAGTCACTCAGTCAATCAGAGGGGCACTCCTACCCATTGGCATGCCAACAGCAATCAAGGCTCAACTACAACAGAAGAGCACACACAACCCACTCATAGAGCACTTGTCTCTGGTGACCAGGAAGACTGTGCTATTGGGATACATACTACATAAGGACACTCTGCCAAGACCAGAAGTGTAGCATATTTACCTAATACAAAACAAACACATGGAATCAGCCAAAATGAGGGCATAGAGAAACATGTCCCAAATGAAAGAATAGGACAAAACTCCAGGATAAGGAGTATAAGGACAGTATAAGGACAAGCTATCTACCAGATGAAGAGCTCAAAACACTAGTTGTAAGGATGCTCAACAAACATAGGACAAGAATAGATCAACTCAGTAAGAATTTCAACAAAAAGATAGAAAACATAAAAATGGAGATAGAAACATAAAAATGAGCCAGTCAAAAATAAATAATACAATAACTGAAATGAAGAATACATTAGAAGGAATCAACATTGGATGGAATCAACACAGAATAGATGGAGCAGAGGACTGAATCAGCAATCTGAAAGACAAGGTAGCAGTTCCTTGGAGTGGCAAAGAGAAAAAAGAATTAAAAAAATAAGGATATTACATCAATATTTGCATAATAAGGATACCAGAAAGAGAAGAGAGAGTGCAAGAGATTGAAAAGCTATTTGAAAAAATAATGACCAAAAATTTACCTAGCCTGGGGAAGGAAATAGACATACAAGTCCAGACAAAATGAACCTAAAAAGGTCTAGACCAAGATACATCATAATTAAAATGCCAAAGATTAAAGAAAAAGAAAGAATCTTAAGAGCAGTGAGAAAAAAAGCAGTTAGTTACTTACAAAGGAACTCCCATAAGACTGTCTGATTTCTCAACAGAAACTTTTTTCTGTTGCCAGAAGAGAATAACACAAAATATTCAAAGTGATGAAAGACAAAGACCTACAACCAAGATTGCTCTACCCAGCAAGACTGTCACTTAGAACTAAAGGACAGATAAAGAGCTTCCCAGACAAGAAAAAGCTACAGTAGTTCTAAAGGAGTTTATCACCATTATACCACTATTAAGGGAAATTGAAAAGGAACTTCTTTAAGAAGAAAAGATCAGAAATATGAATGAGAAAATATAGACTTCCAGTCAAGATGGTGGCATAGGTGAACATGCTTTGCCTCCTCTCACAACTACAGCAAAAATTACAACTAGACTACAAAACAGATATTACCCAGATTCATCAAAATATTGAGCGCTATGGAAGTCTGACAACCAAAGATTTAAAGAAGCCACATTCATCCAGATGGGGAGGAGGGTTGGAAAACCAGAGACATGAGAAGAGGCATGGAGAAGTAGAGATGTGTGGAGAAGTGTGGAGATGCAAAGTGGTGTGGGGAAATGGCAGAATGGGTGGTCCCACATTCACATGTAGTAGGTAAAAATGGGGAGAGATACCTTGGGAGTGAGTGATCCCAGCACAGACAAGACAACTCACCCCAGAGTTCCAGCATCAGGAAGATTATTCCCCATAAGTTCTGGCTGTCAAAATCATTGGGGGTTGGGGCAGCAGAAGGAACTGTAAGTTTCTTAGAAGACTTCTCTGAAAGGGCCTGAAAAGGTCTTAGGACTTACACAGACCTACCCCCTCCATATATGGCACTGAGATAACACCTGGAAGGGCACATGTGGTATATGGGGAGCAAGCAAAGTGACCAGCAACAGGATAAGTGCGCAGAGACAGTTTCCTCCTTGGTAAATCTCTAGAGGCCATACAGTGGCACTATCACCTCTCTAAGCCCTCATCACACAGAGCCACAAAGCCATGAAATGTGCTACCCTTCTCTGGTGATTACCTAAGGATTTGTCTCATACAATTTACAGGGGCACTCTTCTACAATAGGCCATACTGCAAGGACAGGGAGTGGAAGCAGATCTACCTAATATACAGAAACAAACACAGGAAGGTTGCCAAATTGAGGAGACAAAGAAATACGGCCCAAATGAAAGAATGGAACAAAATTACAGAAAAAGAGCTAAACAAAATGGAAATAAGCAACTTATCAGATGCAGAGTTCAAAACACTGGTTATCAGGGTGCTCAAAGAGCTCATCGGGTCCTTCAGCCCTGTAAAAAATGAGCCAGGCAGAAATGAAGGTTGCATTAAGTGAAATACCAAAAAATCTACAGGGAACCAACAGAAGAGGAAGTGAAGCCAAGAATAAAATCAGTGATTTTCAACACAAGAAAGAAAAAGCATTCAGTCAGAACAGCAAGAATAAAAAATAATTTAAAAAAATGAGGATAGACTAAAGAGCTTCTGGAACATCTTTAAATGTACCAACATTTGAATCATAGGGGTGCCAGAAGGAGAAGAGGAAGAGCAAGAAATGGAAAACTTCAGCCCTGGCTGGCATAGCTCAGTGGATTGAGCACGGGCTGCAAACCAAAGTGTTGCAGGTTCGATTCCCAGTCAGGGTACATGCCTGGGTTACAGGCCATGACCCCCAGCAACTGCACATTGATGTTTCTCTCTCTCTCTATCTCCCTCCCTTCCCTCTTTAAAAATAAAATGGATAAAATCTTAAAAAAATAGAAATGGAAAACTTATTTGAAAATATAATAACAAAAGACTTCCCTAATTTGGTGAAGAAAATAGTCATAAAGTTCAGGAAACAAGAAATTCTAAACAAATTGGACCCAAAAGGGACCATGCCAAGATATATAATAATTAAAATGCCAAATGTTACAGATAAAGAGAGACTCTTAAGAGTAGCAAGAGAAAAACAGTTACCTATGAAGGAGTTCTGATAAGACGGTCAGCTGATTTCTCAAAAGAAACTTTGCATGCTAGAAGGGACTGGCAAGAAGTATTCAAAGTGATGAAAAGCAAGGACCTACAACCTAGATTACTCTATCTAACAAAGCTATCATTTAGAATTGAAGGGCAGATAAAATGCTTCTCAGACAAAGTAAAGCTATAGGAGCTCATCATTACCAAGCCCTTATTACATGAAATGTTAAAGGGAATTATTTAAAAAGACTCTTTAGAAGAAGGGACTTCTTATTAAAGAAGATCCAAACTATGAACATTAAGATGGCAACAAATTCACAACGATCAACAACTGAATCTAAAAAACAAACTGAG